AAAGATGAAAGGTCTCACTGTAGGTTTAATTTGTCCTTTATTCGTTTTACCTCTATCCTTTCCCATAACCCAGTATTCCCTGTTTTTGGGGGGAGCCCTCAATGTCTTCAAAGGTCTTGCTCTTTGTCAAGAAAAAGAAAGTTAGTGAATATCATAGAATATTAAAGCTGGAAATGCAATTAAATGTGAAGCATTAACTATCTATCCTTTTCTGAAAAAAAAAATATTTTTGAAACTGAAAGGTGTAAAATTGAACGTAAGTTAAAAATTGAAAATAGGAGGTCTGGCCCAGTGGCGGTGGCCAAGCAGCTAAATTCCTCGCCTTGAGTGCGCCAGGATCCCATATGGGTGCCGGTTCTAATCCCGGCAGCTCCACTTCCCATCCAGCTCCCTGCTTGTGGCTTGGGAAAGCAGTCGAGGACGACCCAGAGCTTTGGGACCCTGCACCCATGTGGGAGACCTGGAAGAGGTTCTTGCTTCCCCGCTTTGGATCAGTGCAGTACTGGCCGTTGGGCTCACTTGGGGAGTGAATCATCAGACGGAAGATTTTCCTGTCTGTCTCTCCTCCTTTCTGTATATCTGACTTTGTAATAAAAAATAAATAAATAAAAAAAGAAAATAGGAGGTCAATGTGACTAGAAGTCAAGATGTAACTACAGAAATTCATTGACAGCTTCCTAATTTTCATCCAGATTCCAATACAAACGAAGCCCTCAACTTTTGCAAACTTAAATACCAGCCAGCTGCTGCATGAATAATTTTATAATGTCTTAACCCTCAGACTTGTTGTATCTACTTGCAATTAGTTTGCCAGCCAGGCTTTGTGATTTATAAATTACATTTCTAGGTAGGATTGATGCCAATTTTGAAGTCAAAATATTATTGATTAGTATTTGTGTATGTGGGTGTGTGTGGAATTTGTGTTTCAGTCATTACCTATGATCACTTATTCTTTTGTCTATTATATTCTCATTACATATGTACATTTTTTCAGTTTACTACTGTTGTCCTAAATATAATTATATATAGCTTCCGATTTCATTCTGTATAGTATATAAATTTGGACAACAAATTATGAGGTTATCTGATATGAATTTTTTGATAACTTGCATAATGGAACATTTTCACAGATTACTGCTTTAAATGAACATTATAAAATAACTATGAACAGGTTTGCTTATGGTATTAACAGTGAAATAGGAAGTTTCTGCATTGTGCAATGTTTCTTTTTTCTCTTTATTTGAAAGGCAAAAAAGAAGAGAGATCTTCCATCCACATCCATATTTTCAGCAGAGTATTGGCCCAGACTAGGCTTTCCATCCAGGGTTTTTAAATGAGTGGCAGGGTCTCAATTACCAGCACCACTACCTAGAGTCTTCAAGTATATGTCTGAGCAATAAGCTGAAATATTAGAAGAATAGCTAGGACTTGAACTAGGACCTTGTATTTGAGATGTGAGCATCCCAAACAGGTGTTTCACTTGTTGTGTCAAAATATTCTGGAAATCTATAAATATTTAAAGGCGAGGAGCATGCATCTACTCTGCTTTTGTTCTATAACACACTTCAGGAAGCTACAAGCACAGTTGTGTCTGGCACATGCTTAAAGACTCAAATCGAAGGTTGATTTGGTCTTTGAGCTTTCCATGACATTTTCAAGGAATTAAATGACTTCCTTACACCATTTCTTTCTATCTATCTATCTATCTATCTATCTATCTATCTATCTATCTATCTATCCATCCATCTATGTAAACACACATATATATTCTTTTATATAGTATTTAAAATAACTTCCTGCCATGCTTTACACAATGTAAGAAGAAACTTTGCAGAAAGTGAAGATTCCTAGATAGCAATCTACTCCGGTTTAAGAGTTGCCACATAGCAGTTATTTTTGTCTTATCACACAAGCTGACCTGTGCTCAATTCCTCCCCTTAGTGAGAAACAAAATTTAACGTCCTTGGAGCTGTGAAAAAAAATCTTGTGAGTGTGTGTCATTTCTTGGTGTCTTTACCCAGGTCTAAAAACTGTTGAGAGCTTTTAAAGCTTTATTTTTTTTCTTTTCAGAAATGGAAAAGTAATTCATCTCTCTCTGTGTATACATTACAAATTTTCTCAAAGATATATTAAATATAAATAATAGCCTGTGTCAAGCATAAATTTAAAAAAAATTGCAAGTGCCAATATGCATAAATTTTCTTCAATTAGTGTCTGTTTATTCGGCCTGCATGTAAAAATACGTAGGAGTGGGAAAATAAGGGTATCTGATCGCTAATGTAAATTCTTTAATCATTTTTCTTTATGAGAAACAAGATAGTGTAGTGTTCCTGTCATATTACATAGAATATTGTAGTCATTTTTTATTACCATGATGAAACGTGTGAGAAAAACAACCTTTGAAGAAGACATTTTATTTCAGCCCACAGTTTTAGAGCTATAAATACATGACTAGACAGCTCCATTTAATTGATCTCTGATAAGTGAGAAGGAATGATTACATAGGCAGCCAGGAAGCAGAGAAGGAGGCAAGTCTTTCTTAAGATTTTGCAGCTAATCTTCCTGTCAGGATTGCCTTCCAGTATGCTCACCCTTGATGACTTAGGACATCCCACTAAGCTAAATGCCACTCTTCATAACAGGATTACATTTCAATCTCTGTTAGTACCATTAAATTTTGACTATGAAGGTTATAATCTCATGTAAGTTTGGGAGTCTAATCATTTTTCAAATCATGGCAAATAAAAAGATGATCAACATCATTCTGCTATTCAAAATTTGCTTATATAAAATATTTATTTATGTATTTATTTATTTGAAAGTCACAGAGAGATAGAGAAAGACAAATTGAGATATAAATATTTTACCTTCTGGTTCTCTTCTTAAATGGCCACAATGATCAGGGTGGGGGACAGGCTGAAGCAAGGGACCTGGATCTCCAACTCCTCTTCCACACGCTGTAGGGGTCCAAGCATTTATGCCAGATTCTATTGCCTTCCTATCACGTCAGCTAGGAGCTGGATTTGCAGTGAAGCAACCAAAAATGGAACTGGTAGCTATGTTGGATATCTGTTTCTCAGGCAGAATCCTAACTTGATACATCACAGTACCAGACCCTTAAAGTCTGTTCTTTGTACCAACTTTTCCACACTCCACCCCACAGAATAAATGCATTTATCACACTAGTGTTCCAAAGTAGGACAACCTAAAACCAATAAACAGTACAAAGCATGATGATAACTATCAATAGGGTTGGTAACAGAAAAATTGAATTAAGTACATGATGATATAATCCTTGGAGGAAAAAACAAACAACAACAACAAAAACTGATAAACCCCAGCCATTTTGGTTGCTTGCTTCATGGGGCTTACACATACAATCAGTAGGAGGTACCTTATGCTTCGTGTTGTAATCCTACGGAAAGCCAAACAGGGAGCGTGTCAGACATAGAGGAATTATGGCTGAGTAAACTGAAGAGCGAGTCTTCCCTTTCCTACTCCTGTTCGTGTTTGAGACTGCTTTGTATAAACCTGCCAAGAAGGATAGCATATTTTGGGGGGCTCTGAAAGCTTTTTAACTAGGCAATCCTAATCTGTAATGATTTAGCGTGTCTAAATCAGCTCTCCCTCTCTCAATTTTTATCTTAATTCATTATTGTGTATTTTCCTCTTAATCATGAGAAACTTTATACCAGAAATGACTCACAAAAATATAATATTTTACAACTGTCAATATAGTCATTTAAAACTTTTACTGATTATTTTTTATTTTATTATAAAAACACACAGAAAGTAAAAATTAAAAAATATAGACACATGGAAAGTTTTCATCTGCTGTTTCACTCCCCAGCTACCAGTAATAGAAATGTGTCAGATTTAACCAGTAGTCTGGAACTGAATCCTAGTCTGTCCAGTGAGTGGCCATGACACAGTGCTTGAGATATTACCTGATGCCTACCTGGATGTGTGTTAGCAGAATGCTGGATGAGAAGCTGTGCTAGATACAAACACAAGGCTCTGCTTGTGGGATATCAGTGCCCCAAGCAGGGATGAACACCAGCCCCTAGTGTCATGGTATTCTGCCCTTATTTTACAAAGCATCTTGAATCATACCCTTTGCATGATTTAATCTCTGAAGTTTTATAGCTATTATCAGTTAACAAAAAACATATATTTTTGGTTTACATCATATTTTCATATGTGCAGTCAAATCCATCTGTTTAATAAATAGTTTAACTCATATGTTTACTTTTTATTTAAATCTGAGTACCCTTTACATTTTCTCTAATACTTAAATATTATTTTCTCTAATACTCAAATATATTACATTATATGCATCATATATTTTATAAAATATACATATCATATATTGCATTGCATAATAAAATACATTATATGCAGATACATATATAATATATGTTGTATATATGTATATATACAATATATATAGCATATGTGTGTATATAAATATATAAATGCACATTTTTATTCGAAAGGCAGAGTTTACAAAGAGAAAGGCAGGGAAAGAGATCTTTCATTCACTGGTTCACTCCCAAAAGAGCTTACCATGGATGACACTAAGGTAACTGCTCTGAAGCCTAGAACAAAGAATTACCTCTAGGACTCAGAGATGAGCGCAGGGACACAAGGACTTAAGCCATCCTTCACTGTTTTCTGGATCACAACATGGGAACTGGATTGAAAATGGAGTAGCTGGGACATGAATCGGTACCTATATGGATGCCAATACCACAGGAAAAGACTTTGCCTCAAAGCTAGGCCATGACACCGGCCCCACTGATATTGAATCATGCATTTTTTAAACTGCAGTGTCATAGAGTTCAAAACATCTCTTGAACTTACTCCTCTAATATACATGAAACTTTTGGTCTTTTAAAAACTCTCCAGCACTTTTCTATCCAAGACTCTGCTACAATTTGACTCTCTGGGTTTAAGGTTTTTTTTGTTTTTGTTTTTGTTTTTTCTTTTTTTAAGTTTTTCAGGGGAGAGAGTAAACGCAGTCCCCCACTACCACAAATTATACAGTTGAGTTTCCCACAATTGGGGAAAATTGCAAGGGTTAGCACACCCGGAGTGCAGTGGGTGAGCCTGTCCCTGGGAAGGCCACCTTCCTGATCGTGGTATCTCCTCTGCCAGGTAAGTATTTAGGTTTTACTTCATTAGAATCTTCTATACTAGTAGTATCACGCAATAGTACTTTTTCCCCCATTTTTAAAAGTCTTGTTTATTTCAAAAATAATGAGAGAAAGAGAGAGAGGAATAAAAATTGGGGGACAACAGGGGGAAAAGAATTACAGCCAGAAAATCACAAAGCAGAAAACTTCCATACAACATTTTACTTCCAAAGTGGCTATTTCGGCTTGGGATGGGCCAGGAAAAAGCCAGAAACCTGGAATTCCCTCCAGGCCTTCCTTATGGGTGTCAGGGTCCTAAATATCTGGTCAATCTTCTGCTATGTTCCCAGGCACTTAGCAGTGACCTGCATCAGAAGCAAATCAGGTGGGCCTAGACTTGGTACTATGATACAAGAGGCGGAAAACAATCTGTGTGCCCAATGTTGTTTTGTATTATGTATTAATTTAAATATCCTATAATAAATAGTCAGATCCAAAAAAGAAGTGTGTTTCTTTGAATTTCTGTGCTTTCATTTCAGTCCACCAGAAACAGAATTTGTTAGCAGATGGAGAGTTTGATCATCCTCATCTTCATATTTATTGTCAATAGTGTCTTGTATCATTAGAGTATTGAACAAATGTTGAATTACTTAGAACAAAAAGAAAATTATTTTATGAAGTAATTATTAAATCAAGCATTTATTCCTTTTTTTCTCGGGGGGCATTCAATTAATGATTTATAAGCATGTTATCCAGCTTATGGCTTTTAATAGAATTGGCTATTCAAAGCATTATTCTTCTGGTCAAATGCTGTATATCATGGAGCTTAATTAAAAGTGCATCTGCTTCACTATGTAGTAAATGATGCATGCACATTACTTCACAGCATATACATATTTCATGTTAAAATTATGTACTCTATGCACTAAAATATTCATTTCATTACAGAGAAAAGCTATTCAAATTTCAAACTTGGCTAACACAGATCAAAATGGAAAACATAGGTTTTTTTTTAATAAAATTAAAAGAATGTGAAAACATGCTATCTCTTAAATAAATCATATTTTAAAATTAAATCACTTTCGCCATTGTTACTTTTATGTATAAAACCTCTAGTTTCTCTCAAAAGATCCTATATATAATGAATACTACAGATGTTTTAAATGAGGTTCTAAGTAATGACGCTGAGGACTGTCATCCTCTCTCAGGATAAAAACAAAGGAATTTTCTATGAGGAAGTGTATATTTTAACTTAGTGAAACTTGATTCAGATGTGCCCTTTATCAGCTTTTTCTAAGCTCTTTAGATATTCAGTTGGGAATGGTGCCTTTACTATATCAAGGCCAAAATGAACCAGGAATTTAACACACACAAGCTTATGAGAACTGAAATTGACTCCTTAGAAATGTACATCACAGAACACGTTCTTGCTAAAATTTAGAGTTTTAGAAGATGACTTCAATAGTTGCAAAATTATAGGTGTTGTGTATTGCTGTTGCAACTTTACATTTCCTTTGCTATGTGGTTACAATATAACCAAGATTTATTTAGGCATAAGCTTATTTGTCCATCTTGAATTCATTGTGTACTTAGAATGACTGGTATACTAAGTCTGTGCAATTTTGGAAAGAAGCAATTATGTGCAAGGTGAATAAAAATGGTAAGTAGGGCAGATAATGAGGTATTTTATAAGAAAATAAATGCAAGATTTAGAAATACACTTTTGTAATCAAAAACATTGAATACTTTCAGAGAAAATCATGGGTCGAAAAAATGCATTCATGTTGGTAGAAGGAGAAATTAAAATGCATTAGAAAAATGAAAAAATAAAAGTGAAACAATTAATACACATATAATGGGGACTGATGGTGTAACAAAGCAAGATTTCTCTTGATGCAGACATTCCATATAACTGTACATTTCAAGTCCCACTGGAAACAAACAATAGTAAAATATCTAGCCATTGTGAACAGACACTCCTTTTAACAGATAGACTGATAAAAAGTAGGAATATGAAAAGATGATCAATATCATTCTAATTATGGAAATAAAAAACTAAAACCACAATGAATTGTCATTACACGCACATTAGTATGGTTTGCTCAAGAAAAAGTAGATAAATCTGAATAGTATCACTGCTACTGTTAAAGGGGATTCCAAAGAGAGATAGTCATATTTAGAAATATTAATGTTAATTTTATAAAACATATTCCAGAAAATGAAGAAGGTTCATTTGAGAAGATAAAGAATGTTAAAATACTGTCTCCTTAGATAATAGGAAGAAAACATTATTGCGTACTTCTTACACTGTTAATATTATGATATGGGTGGAGATAATTGGAGAAAATATGAAGGGATTTTAGGATAACAGAAAATTGCAGCCAACACTGTGAAAATAGTTTTGGAACTACCAGCGTTTTGGAACTATTAGCATTTAATAATGAACATATTTCCTTAAATATTTAAACTCTGCAGTGCCTTTGATGGAAAGGGAGTGTTGTTTTCTTTCCCTTATATTAGAGTAGAAAGAGAAGAACAGAAATAAATGTACTGATTAGTGAAATGGAACTCATTAGCCTTTATTTTCATCATTATTTTTAATAAGCATGACATACGTGTCATTTTATTAGTATCAGTTCTGCTGAAATAAGAGGGGCAAGTGTTGGAAGACTTAACTATGAATGGTAAGGATACACTTCCACTGAAGTCGAGGTTCACAATAAGTGTCATATGTATCATGACAGTAAAATCATATCATTAGTGATTATCCTAGGGCCACTACAGGAAAGGCTACACTACTCTCTTTAATCCAGTATATTTTTAGAAAATAATGGAAACAGTTCAAAAATAGAACCAGAAAGAATTCAAGTTTAGCAAAATGCCAGTTATCTGGCAAGAATCATTCTTTTTTCTTTCTCTTCTTGTTGTTTTTTAAAGATTTATTTATTTTTATTGCAAAGTCATATATGCAAAGAGGAAGAGAGACAGAGAGGAAGATCTTCCATCTCCTGATTCACTCCACAAGTGCCTGCACTTCCGGAGCTGAACCAATCCGAAGCCAGGAGCCAGGAGCTTCTTCTGGGTCTCCCTCATGGATGCAGGGTCCCAAGGTTTTGGGACATCCTCTACTGCTTTCTCAGGCCACAAGCAGGGAACTGGATGGGAAGTGGGACAGCCGGGATATAAACCTGTGCCGGTATGGGATCTGCGGCATGTAAGGAGAGGACTTCAGCCACTAGGCCACTGTGCTTGGCCTGTCTTTTTTTCCTTATTAATAGATATTTGTATGCTCATAAGTGCATTCTGCTAAATATTTTTTTTAAAATTTCTTTTTGCTAGATGTGGCCATGTAAACAAATTTTGATTCACCTGATATGTATAATAAAATCAGCTCTGATCCCAATCTTACGCATAACAAGGTCATACTCAGGTTTTTTTTAAGATTAATGTATTTATATTGATTGATGTATATGAAAGCCATGTTGGAGAGAGAGAGCAGGAGGCAGAGGGTGAGGGGGGGTGGTGAGAGAGAGAGAAAGAGAGGGGGGTGAGAAAGAAAGAGAGAGAGAAATACAGATCTTGGTAATTCACTCCGCAAATGGCTGCAACATCTGTGGCTGCACCTGGACAAATTCATAAATCAGCAACTTTTCATCAGGATCTTCCATGTGGGTGGAAGTGGCCCAGGCTCATTAGCAGGAAACTGAATTGGAAATGGAATATCTGGGACTTGAACCAGTGTTTTGAGGCAGTGTCTTTGGCAGTGGTGGCTTAACCTATTCGGCTACAACACTGAACCCTGATGTTTCAGATTCTTATTAATCTCTCCTATTTACCAGGGAAAAAAGGATGACAGATATTAGAATGGTATATTTGAGAATGTACTGCAGAGAATGGCAGAAATGTAAAAGCAAGTCAAAAAATCTCAAATGTCCATCTTTCCTCCACAATTTCCTACTTCTATCTTGCTACGCCCGTTGAATTTTGTAGTCTTCTTGTTAGAACAATGTAAAACCCCAAATTGTGATATTCTTCATGACTGATGTTGATGAAGACTCATATTAAGGCAGTCATTTTCTTATAATACTTCATATACAGAACAATACTACAGATGGTGTAGAAAATATGAGAGTACAAATTGAAATGCTTACTAAGTTGTGTTTGTGGAATGGAATTGTAATTCTAATTTCAGAGTCCCTGAAATTCTGTTTATTTCCCTGATGTCATGTAATTGTTTCCAGTGAAGGAAAGTCAACCTTAGAGAGATAGTAAGCAAAGTAAGATGATGAAGTCAAGGGTTACCTAGAATTGCATTTCTGGGATTTGTGAGACATTCAAGAAATACTTGCTATGGAAATATTAAAATTCAAAAGAAAATTAAAAATCTAAATCAATGGAGTCAAGCTTCTTCAAAGAATTGTACCATTTCAATCTGTGTTAGAAAGTAATTAGCTAAGTGATTTGCTGAACAGTTTTATTACATTGAAACACTAATGAAACAGAATTATCATACAATGAATAAAAATTGATGACATATCAAAATAAAAAACTCTGAACAGCAATAAATCTGGAATACAAGTCTACTTGTAGAATTGGTTGTTCTTTGTTTAATAAACAAAATGAAGTGCTAATTTATAATCTTTAACAACTGCTGAATCAAAGTATGGCAAGGTTCTTGAGAAGTATCTATTCTTCCAGAAGTACTAATGACAGAACGAAGAGTTAACTCTGTGAGAAATAACTCAACACTTCCAGCAAAGGTAAATTTTGGCAAAGGTCTAGTGACTGGGAAGCTAAGAAGTAGCAGTAACACATTCCACCAGCTTTCTGAGGAATGTAGCTTGCCAGTGATGAACTTGGTGTTGTCCACCCAACAGTATACATAAGCATTCAGTATAATCAGCCCAATGAGTACCCATATCCCTCTAAGAAAGGCTACATGAGAAAACTTTATCTGTCCAGCCTTTGGTTGTGACCAAACAGTGAATTGTTGATTACTTACAGGACTTAGCGGAAGGATTCAATAGCTA